GCCCCCCCCTCCCCCCCCCCCCCCCCCCCCCATTTTTTTCATCTCAATTCTCAGCTATCTTTCTATCAAGTTTCAACACTCTTTTGCTAAATAGTCTCGATTATTTAGTCAATTATCTACAATTATACAATATTGATTCATTTTTTACAGTTTATTCAATTTCAATTCATCCAATTCTAATTTCTCACTACATTTATTGAAATTTTGTCAAATTCTCAATTCTCACTACATTTATGTTTTTACTAGTTATTATATTTAGATTTCATCACAAACAATCAAACAAATGGATCAATGCTAATTTGTTGAGAGCTTGTTCAGTATGGGATGTGGGCCACATGGTGAATCGCCTAGAACGCCGCAAAGTCAATTTCGGAATGAATTTGTCAATCTAAATGACGTACTCATACTTGAAGATGTTGATATTCACGGTCATGGAAGCCACAATCCAATTAATTTGGATGATATTGACGTTCCCGAAGTGGAACATGAGGACGAAGAGTCCGAATTAAACATTCCAGATGCGAGGGGAAAGCGAAAGGGGAAAAACAAGCAAAATGTTAAAATCACTTTAAATTGATTTCAAAGGGAAAAGTCGTCGATGACCTCGCAAAATCTAAAACAGTATCTAAATACTGCTAATAAAGATTGGCATGACAAAAAAGAATTGGTACCACCCATCTTAATCACCACTACAAAACATGTACAGCTAGAAATGGACTTCTTCCAACGGGTCAAACACAATTGCAATTTGGCAGTCCAGGCGCCGGTTCTACGACTTCACCCCTATCCACGTGGGTGTATTTGGAGGAGAAAGTTCAAACTGGAATGGTAAAATTTGTTACCGCTACCGAGTTGCCTCTGGCTATTGCTGACAACCAACACTTCGTCTTGTACGTAAAAGAATATCTACAATCAAGGTACGTTGGGGTAAGTCGAAACAATCTTCGTGCCGATACAATATAATATTTCAATGATTCAAAATAACAATTAACCATGAATTTGCAACAATATGGAGGTGTTACATCTTTAACTTCTGATATATGGAAAAAAGGGTTAATAAAAGAGCTTATATAGCTGCAACCATATACTATATTGACTCGCTTTGGTGCATGCATTAAAAAACTATTGCTTTTAGAATTATTAAGTTTCCTCACAATACTAATAATATATATAATTTTATTATCAGTATTGTTAGAGAATATAACTGTGAGACTAAAATTCGGTCTTTTACTTTCGATAATATTAGTGTTAATAAGGT